ATGCAGAGAACTGACATAAAAAGGGCAGAGTGTGTAGAGACTGGAGTCCCTGGAAAAGAAGTTCTGGTAAACTGTTGCTTTAGTTAAAACAGCAGAGATTGCTTGCTGTGTAAAGCAGGTGAGTCAAGGCCTGCAGGAGAAAAGCAAGTCTTTAAAGAGACAGTGCTCTAAAATTTTCTGTGGACTGTGGAACACAGTGTGCAAAAATGCAGTGGATTGCACAAAACCGATTGTCTGCCATGGATTGGCGCAAGCAGCATTTGGCGGCGTTGACCCCAGCTATTACAGTGGAGAAGCCCGCTCTGAATGCCTGGAGAGAGTGAGGGGCTGAACAGAGGCTCAGCAGGGGCGCAGTTGTCGGTAGCAATGCCAATGAACGCCGGATTGCTGACCGCGTGCCATGGATGTTGCCTGCAGAGGAGTGGAGCCTAGTAAAGATACCTGGAGAGAGGATCCAGTACAACCAGGAGAGCCAAAGTGTGTTCAACGGGAGAGTGCCATCTCCCATTGCAACCAGGAAAAGGTTGTCACCACAAGTGAAAAGCTGCAGTGGAGTTGTAGCTCAGCATTATGTTCAAGCTGTAGGTGCATTTCTACCTGCCAGGAGCTCCCAGGAGGGAAACGCATGTGATAAAAATTATGCAGTACCTTGTGCACCATGTGGCCGATGGGGTCATGGGTGTGTGACATGCTCTGAGCTGTGGGGTACCACCGGAGATACTGGTGGGCAGGAGTCCGAACCCGCCAGTCTAAACCATGAGGCTAATGTGCATGCAGTTGTCCATAGCAATGCATGGGAAAGTTCCTTGGAGCCTACAGGGGGCACCAGAGAGTAGTGGAAAAAGTCAACACAGAACCAGCGCTCTCAAATTAAGTTAACCACGGTGCCTGAGAGGGGTGGTAAGACTGACTTTGCTGAATTGTTTGCTGGAACTGTTTGTCCTGTAGCCAAAAAGACTGACTGTAAACTTAGGCGTGAGATGGGAGTAACGCTAGTTGAGCGGCCCATGGAACATTGTATGAGAGACTTGCCTCTACTTGGTGCACAGGAATATGGAGAGGCAAGTGTTAAAAATGCCTGTGATAATGTGTGTTTTTTTTTAATCCAAAGGGGGATTTGAACATTACTACTGTGGAAAAAGTTAATGTTGATGTAAAAATTGTTAAAAATGCGCCGGGATGGAAATGCATTGTTTGCTACCAGAGTGGGTGCAACAGAAATATCCTTGGAAATCTCAGAGGGGCTCATTAGAAGGATAGGGTAAGTTTGATGGGAGCCCAGACAGCATAGATTGGAATAAGTTGCCTAAATGTTTGTTACCTCTAGGGGGAGATGTATTGTCTGAGACCCCAGAGATAAACAAACATGAGATATTGCCAAACAAAATGGAAACAGATAAAAATGATGTACGGATGGTAACTGATGGTCCTGTGCTAGACAGTGACGGGACGCACAATATTTCTGCTGTGCCAGAAGGATCAGCTGCTGATCAGCTGGTAGAAGAGGGTGCGAATGCTGTGGCAGCTGCTATAATTCACCAGGTGGACGGGCCAAGTAAAAGTGAGAAAGCAGCAGAAATTCTGTCCGAAACCCAGGACAGGGTTAAAAATTATTTGGGTGGCCCTAAGGAGCGACAGCCCCTGCACAGTTGCCAGTAGAAACGGGGAACCGTGAAGTTGCTGGGGAAGAGGAACACTCCCAGGGGTGTGGTTCCTCTACAAATACTGTGTTGCCCGACTATGCCACTGATAATGGTGAGATGGGTGAAACATATAATTAAATTAAAAATTGTAAGGGTTTGGTTACCCCGAATAATGTCACCTGTAACTCAAAAGGGGTTAAAAAGGATGTGGTGAAAACGCCAGAAGGTACTGGTACAATGGCAATGGCTAAATGTGGTTCATACAAAAACTGACAATAACAAAGGTGCTATTTTAAAGCGATTGGGGTTGGTTGCTGGGAGCAACAACACTGAAACTGAATGGGTCAGTAACGAGGGAGTGGTGGTCAGAAAATTCCCTACTGACAAGGACCTGAGTCTTGAACGGTGTGAGGTGACCAAATGGGTCAATGGGAAGACTGCTAGGGACCCCAAAGCGATTGACGGGGTTAGCGTAGCAACGGGCTGCCAGGAGTTCGGCAGTGATAAGCACCATAGAGATGACAGAGGGAATGCTACCGGGTTGACTGTCTGGGTAATGACCGATAAAGGCTATGTAAAAAAGAGGAAGGATGTGGGCCTGAGGAAAGTGCAAGGTTATGGGTGGAAACGCACACGTAAAAAGGTCGTACTGGGTCGACTTGGTACCTCGGTCCAGAGAGTAAACCATTATATAAGGAAGAACCTGGCCTTTTCAGATTCCTCCAGATTTTCAGAATTGTAGCTGGGATCTGGAGCTCTGGAGAGGTGTGCCTGGAGCTGAGGAAAGCTACTGAGCAATACTAAGGAATGTATATGCTGAAGAAAGCTGATTATCATGAGAAGTACATGTAAATGTTGGCCTTTATGTGAACAAAAGACTGTCTTTTATGTTGCTGCTGGAAGCTTTCTTGTGTAACAGGGGAAGGATACTCTGTGGATAGAGACTTTTTGTGTTTGCCCTTAACCCTTTCGCTGCCAAGCCCTCCGAAACATTTTTCAATTCAGCTGGCCAAGCCATTTTTGCAATTTTTCCCATTGATTTGATTTTCAACTACTGCGTTGCTAGCGTTTGTAAAAGACCCCCCAAACCATATATTTTCTGAAAGCGCAGGCCCGGTAGAATAAAAAGATGGTGATACTAAATTTGTAGGCCGTGCGATAATTGCGCAAATGTTTCTCAAATTAATATTAAACCGATAAAAATACACAATTCAATTGATAAAACACACTAAAAGCAGTATCCGTTCACAAAAAAAATATTTTTTAATTGCGCCTATACACATTTGTAATTGCGCCTTTTTGCGAAAAGTAAAAAAAATGAAGGTATGCAAAAGTGTAAAAAAGCGACTTATGTTAACAATTGTTCTTACGCTGTGTTGGTGTTTGTGTTGTGATAAAATGATACAGGCGTATATTTAATTGCAACACAAGGTATCACAATGCACGGCAATGAGTCACAAAGCTTTGCCATGCGCTGCCACAGTTAATTTCATGTTTTTTTAACAGAAAAAAAGAAATCAGTACAGAGGCTTCCCATTCATTCACAAACTGCTGATAGTAAGATATTTACTATGTTTCGGCTCGACTGAGCCGAGGTGAAAGCCGAAGCTAGCCGAACGGCCGACAACCTGCTACTTGCAGCTTGGTGGAGCCAGCCATCATCTCACGCCTGGCTGATGGCCAATTGCATGCATTCACTCACTGCTGTTCGGCCCCTATGAGAATAGGCCGAACAGTAGCGAGTAGCCTGCCAGAGGTTCGGCTCAGCCGAGTTGAAATCCTTCTGCACTTAGGGTCGGCTGACCCAAACCCAGCCACAGCAAGACGGTGTACGGCAGAAATCAGCTGTACAAGCCTGAAGTGAATAGCCGAACAGCGTTCGGCTCACTTCACTCCGTGTTGGTTAATCACACGGCTGACTGCGGCAGCTTTGTGAATAACCCCCTATGTGTCCCCAGTTATTTACAAACACTGGAGTGATCGGATTAAATTCTTGAATGAACAGGCTGTGATGTAGATCACAGCCTGTTCATTCATAACTGGGGACACATAGTAGTATGTGTCCCCAGTTATCTACAAACATATGATCTGTAGGGGGTCAGTGTTTAATAGCTCAGTTTATGTTTCCCTTAACCACATGAAGTCCGCGGTGTTAAACCCCCTTTCCATCCAGGCCATTTTTCAGTATTCAGCGCTGCGGTACTTTGACTGACATTTATTCCGTCATGCAACGCTGTACTGAAATAAATTGTATACCATTTTTTGGGGACAGATAGAGCTTTCTTTTGGTGGTATTTAATCACCACTGGGGGTTTTATTTTTTACTATATTAAGGAAAAATTACCGACATTAAAAAAAACAAAAAACTTTAGCCTATATTAAATGATAAAACATTTATTATTACCCAATCTTTTGGTAAAATATAAACGACGGGGTCACGTCACGTAAAAAGACACCAAACATGTCAAGCCCTAAAATTGCGTGCGCACGCGAAACCTCAAAAAACTACAATACCCAAAATTGGCCATAGGCGACGCTTTAAAAGCTTTTACCATCTGTTTAGTGTTATCAGTGATTGATGGGCCTAAAATTATTGCTCACACTCCGAATTTTGTGGCGATATGTAACATGTGTAGCGCAATTGTCGTTTAAGTGCTCTGGTGCACCAGACGCATATTTACATTTATATGTGCGTAAACAGGGGGTTGGGGGACTTAAACGTTTTTGGGGTTTTTAAAAAAAAATTTTATGTGATTTTTTATTTTTTTAACTCTTTGTTTATGTTTTTTACACTTAATGTCATTGCTATTACATAGGGGGATACCAATCCCCCTATATAATAGCAAAGGCACACTGACGGGTCCTCTTTATGGAGATATTAGGGGGTCTCTAAGACCCCTTATGTCACCTGGGGACTCCAAAAGAAGCTGATGAAGCAGAGATCTGCTTCATCAGCTTCTTCTCTCTGGCAATAGCAGCCAGATGACTGGCAGGTGAATGCGGAAGTTATGTATTACACATAACTTCTGCATTCACAGCACGGAGGGAGATCAACAAGGAGGAAGATGCTGATCTCCTTTGGGGGGGGGGGGGGGTCACACAGCCAGCACATACACACGATCAGCAGGCTATAGAGCTGCCGATCGTGTGTATGTGAAACAGCCGGTAACGGCTCTTTACATCTGACGGGTTTTATCTGCCATGCGTGCGCGAGCAGAAAAAGAAATGCCGTCTAGTCACGGCAACCCGCCAATGTGACTGTGCCGTCAGTCTGTTTTTTTTTTTCATTACCAACAATGTTTTCTAAATGTTGAACATGTAATCTTATGATGCTTCTTTCCACCCTTCATATTTCAGGTGGAAGAAACTGTCAGCCTGGTGAAGATTATTGAGAAAACTGGTGTCGCGGCTATTGCTGTTCATGGAAGGTAACATTTATATTCTCATAACAAAGGTTGCAATTATTATTTCAATACTTCAAATTAATACATATAATGATACATTTGTGAAGTTACACTTTAAGGCCCCCTTTACACCTCTTGCATTGTTACCTTATGTATGTATGTTAACAAGCTTGGGGAATTTAGCTAATTATCATCTCAGACACTAAAAATAGTGTCAACCATGGCAGTGGAACAAACAGGCCATTACTTCAATCAGCATCATTGACTCCCCGGAGAGGCATTTCCACCTTCTTCCTGCCTGGGGAATGGACCATATCAGCACACACCAGTTATCATTGTGGAGATACAGAATCTCCGCAGTAGACATGCTGCATGACTCTCCTGCAATAGACCTGGACCTCTCGCCACCAGACCCCTTCTAAAGTCAGTCAATCACTTAAGGAGGACATTCAGTCAATATTTACTTAATCCTCTAACTGGGAGACAACTTGCACCACTTTGCAAGCTACTATCACATAGACATGCACAAATCCCCTATCCACACACTTTTCCTATTGCATGATGATCATGATAACAAGAATCATCTCAACAAGATAAGACTTCAGGGACTCCCCAATGCTACTGGGACTCCCAATTGTCCATGACTTATATGTCTCAGCACACCCTGGACCAAAGGTTGGCACCCAAACCTCTGCTAAACCTGCTAAAGGAACATAGCATTCCCTACAGTTTTTTTGCATTCCGTCTCCATATTTGTAAGGCTTGTAAAACAAATGATGTCATACACCCAGCCTAAATATTGGACCTTTTGCATTAACTGATTCTCCTTCAACTTACCTCTATAGACTGGCCCCAAACCAATTCTGCACCTGGGCCCATCCAGAGGATTCCTAATGTCCCCTCATCTCAAGCGTTGGACCCATAGAACTTTACAGCAATTAAAGTGTCTCCTAGCTTCAAGATATACTTTTCTTGTTGCCATGTTCTACAGATGGTTTCCTGAGTGCCCTGGGTATACATTCCCATGGACGATTGTGGGGTCCAGGACTGTACTTGGATCACTCGCAGACCATATATTGGCCAGCATGTCTACATCCTCAGGGACCTTGTAATGTCTAAATTGCCTTGGCTTCCTGAAATAAGCTAACTTGCTATTCTCTGCTTCCAATGATGATAACGATACAATGGTTAAAAGAAGCAATGGTCTTATTTATTTATACACAAATCTAATCAAACATAATAAAAGATACAAACAGATACAATAAGACAATCAAGAGAATACTTTACACAGCAAGTCCGTCCTCTGGTTCCTATATCCTGGCTGGGCTCAAAGAGAGAGCAATATTGGCACGCACGGACTTTTATACCCATTCATACACATACATCGACACCTCCTTTACCCAGAATTCCGCATGTCCCTTAAATGTCTTTCGGCCAATCGGCATGGTCCTTCATATTTATCCACACGCACTGTAGTCCTCCAGCAGGGGGCATCATCGTACTGCAGATCAGTCCTTGGCCTAGGTCAACACCTTGTCCTTTGATCTTTAGACAATGGCCAGTCACATTCATATGCAAAATCTGGATATCTTGACATGTATTCCCAATGTGCCTACACCCTTATCAACACCACAGGGTGTAACGCTTGAGGTCTTGTCCAGATGAATGAATATCACCTTTCTCATCTCCCCTGCCATGCACCAGGCATGAACAACACACAGTTGGTCTATTTGATGAGCAATGCAATCAAGATTTGAAGATATCTGTTCGGCAGCTTTCGTACATGAAAATGTTGTACACTCCAACAGACCTATTCTCCACCCTTTTGTTCAAATATGTGATTCTTTGCTGCATAGATTTCATGGGTTCTCCATATATGGATCTGCTGCCACTTTCACGTTGTGGCCCTTTGACTACCTCTCAACTGTAGACAACTGGACAATGGACACCGTCAAAGCATGACTGTGTTCTCTTGGCTATCCCAGTGAGAACTTTACTTTCTAATGTTTATTTTAACACTGTAAAAAGAACATAAAAACTTGGTGCACATATCTAAGTGCAGTATAAAAGTAGCTGTTAAATAAAGGTTAAAAGTAATGCAATTACAGGATATTTAGAAACCTCTCACTTGTCACACACCGGATCGAAGTCTGACCTCAGCTGCTGGTCTAAGATTGTTATCAGGATAGGCGGTACATGGAGAGAGCAGAGTCCAGTCTAGAAAGATTCCAGCTCACCTGTGCTGGAAGACACAGATCTGATCCAGTGGCTGAGCAGTGCTATTGCTGGTTCTTCTCAAGGTGGTATCACAGCTGCTGAGTACTTCCAGGTCATCAGGTCTCAGACACTGCTAGGTGACACATTTCAGAGGTTCACCTCCTTTGTCAAGCCTTGGAGAGCCAGCTACAACACTGCTCAGCCACTGGATCAGATCAGTGTCTTCCAGCACAGGTTATCTGGAATCTTACTGGACTGGACTCTGCTCTCTCCATGTGCCATCTATCCTGATAACAATCTTGGACCAGCAGCTGAGATCAAACTTCCATCTGATGTGTGACAGGCAGGATGTTTTTAAATATCCTGTAATTGCATTACTTTTAACCTTTATTAAACAGTTATGTTCTTTTTACAGTGCTGCTACATGGATGTTTCGCTATCCAACTAACCAGGCTGCAGGATTAGTGCATACCTGTACATCTTCTCTGGATTAACCACCAGCATAACTGGAGCTCCTTTAAGACTATTAATATACTGTGCAAGTTGATGACTTCTGTTTAATGTTTATTTTAACAATGTCCTTTTGTGTGTTCAAGTGTAGTTCTACTTCTGCAGTCACACAGCATACCTAAAAACATTTTTTTCTTACATTTTAAATGTTTATTTAGTGAAGGCCTTTGTTCAGATTCCAATCTACACTAAGCAGTTTGTCTCTCAGTTTGACCCTCTATTTTCAATTCAGATTAGGTTTATTCTCTTTAAAACAGTCAAATCTGCCACCATAGTACAGGCAGAGTTAATTAGCGTAAATATGACTTCCCCACTCCTTAACATGACATAGAGGGGAAGCTAGGTAGGATTTTTAAGCAAGTAAAATGCACTATGTAAGCAGCAATTTAAAAAAAAAAAATTTAATGTGAACGAGAACATGTAACAAATACAAAGTAGGTGTTATCCCAATTTGGCTGCAAAAGTGTAAATACTCTTTAAGGTTTGCTGTTTGACTTAAAGGTAGCTTGGACTGCAGGGGTAGAACCTTATCATAGGAATCCTAAATCAATACCTCATCTGCTTTCTAACACCAGATTTAGACATCTAATGCTGCCCCTTCCTCCCATATGATAAACTACCTCCGTAGGGTTGGTTTGTTATGATTTGCAATGTTATAACCTGTGCCATTATGTACATTGTTTTCTTCAAAAAAAAAATGTTGATCTGGTTAATGAGAGAGTGACCCCTGTGGGTACAAATCCTCCTAAACATGGTCTATAGTATGGTATAGTTTATAACCTTTGATGTTCTGATGCCTTGTGATTCTCTCCTTCCCACCCTCTCCCCAGAGTGGTTGAACTGGATCTTTTTTTTTTTTTTGAAGGTCACCCTATGGGGCAGGATACTTAGCATAGCTGATTGTTATGCTCCAAACTGTAAAGAAGAACTCCAGGGAAAAAACGTATTAACCCTTGCAGTGGGGCTACCCCCACACTGCAAGGGCTCAGTGTTTGTTTTTGTCTAGGTACTAAAAAGAAAAGAAAGTTATACTCACCTGAATGGCTAAGCCAACTACCTGCTTCCCTGTTCACTGAAGCATGTCTCCTCCTCTACTGCACAGATGGAATCTTCCCCAGCATACTTGGGTCTATACACTTGTATAGAACATGATGACACTAGGATTCATATACCACTGTAGAGGAGGAGTAAAGAAGCTCTAGGGCAGCGGTCGCCAACCGATGGTCTGCGGACCACTGGTGGTCCGCAGACCATCGGTTG